CAAATAACCATATTAGAATGCAGAGAATTAGGTATAAGACATCCAAGTGAAGCTTCTAATTACCCTGGCTTTACTAGTAGGACGAGGGAGTTTAATGAATGCTTACATGACTTGGAGTTAGAGGAGCATAAGGCAGAGAGGCCCCTGGTTCACCTAGTTAAACAAGCAATCCAGGAATCCCATAGCCAGGATGCTTGATAGGGTGTTCATTAATCTGGCATGGTTAGAGAAGTTTCCTACTAGCATAGTCAGTCTCCTTGAACATAATGTCTCGGATCATTGTTCTATATTGGTTCATCCACAATCTGAAGTAAACTCTCTACCTAAACCGTTCAAGTTTTTCAAATTTGGGATAAATCACTCTCAATTTGAGGGTTTGGTAAGGGAGGCTTGGGCCACTCGTGTTGTTGGTTCTCCTATGATTTGATTATGCAAGAAGCTGGGAATTCTAGGGGAAGTTGAAGAGGCTGAATGAGGAGGAATTTTCTGACATTAGTGGCAGAGTTAAGAAAGCTGAACATCTGCTTAGTAGTGCTCAAGTGAAGGCTCTATCCGATCCATCTCCTGCTAATTTTGAAGAGGAACTCCTTTTTTCCAAGAATTTGTTTGATCTTCGACAAGAAGAAGAATCCTTTCTACGACAGACGTTCAGGGAGGTTTGGTTGAAAGGGGGTGACTTAAACTCAACTTATTTTCATAGATCGTTAAGACAAGGCAGAAGAGGAATACTATCGTTGCTCTGATTGATAACACTGGGAATAGGGTCACTGAGGTGAGGCAGATGACATGCATTGTTGTTTCTTTTTATCAGAAGCTACTTGGGGAAGTGATGTTGTTTCTTTTTATCAGAAGCTACTTGGGGAAGTGATTTGGAAGTTAGATTGGAACCGATGGAATTTTACCAAGGCTTACTAAAGAGGCATCTCTCACCTGATCACTTTGAATCCATGTGTGCTCCTTTCACAAGGGAGGAATTCAAGCAAACTATTTTTGTCATGAAATGTTAGAAAGCCCCGGGTCCAGATGGCTTTTCTACATGTTTTTTTCTAGGCTACCCGGTCAATTATGGGGAGGAACTTACAGAAGCTATTCTTTCTTGCATTGAGCAGTGCATAATCCCTAGAGAGGTAAATGCTACTACTCTTGCTGTCATTACAAAGATTCCAAATCCTGAAAACATGAAAGATTTCCGTCCTATTTCATGTTGCAACATTGTCTATAAATGTATTTCTAAACTGATTGCTAATAGGCTCAGTGCTACTCTGCCTGAACTTATCAGTCATAATCAGTCAACATTTGTTAAAGGGCATTTAATTGGTGATAATATACTCATGGTGCATGAACTGATGTCAAAGTATTCATTACAAAACATTTCATCTCGATGTGCCCTTAAGATAGATCTTATGAAGGCTTTCGAATATGTTGACTGGAGATTTATTCTCAATGCGTTGTCTGCTATGAACTTCCCTCCTTTGTTAGCGGACTGGATCATAATGTGTACTACGACCCTTATGCTTAGTGTTAGATTTAATGGAGGGTTAGTGAGCTATTTCTCTGTAATGAAGGGTTTTAGGCAGGAGGACCCATTGTCCCCTTATCTTTTTGCTATCTCGATGGAAGTTTTTAGCTGTTTGCTTGATAAATCCGCTGTAAGAGGTCAATTTCCATATCACACAATGTGTAAGCGTATTGGTTTGACACATCTGTGCTTTGTGGATGATTTATTAGTTTTCTCTGATGGATCAAATGTTGGGCTACAATGTATTAAGAGTGTGCTGGATAGATTGAAAAGTCTGTCTGGACTTAGCTCTAGTCCTAGTAAATGTGAATTATTCGGTGGCGGCCTCACTCAATCTCAGAAGGACAACATGGCTTCTTGGTCTGGTTACAAGCTTGGTAGGTTTCAAGTTCTCTACTTAGGTGTGCCTTTGGTAGCTGATAAGCTTAAGATTTTCTCTTGTCGACCTCTGGTTGATAAAATAACAGCAAGGATCTCGGGTTGGAAAGCTAAATCGTTGAGCTATGCTGGTAAACTGGAACTGGTTGTCTGTGCTTTTTAGTATCACTCAATATTGGATGTCTATATTTTTGTTGCCTAATACTGTGCTTAAGGAAGTGGAGAGGATATGTAGTAATTTTGTCTGGGGAGTTGGATTTGGTACATGGCTTAAACCAAGGGTTGTTTGGCCTCATCTTGCCTACCCAAAAGCTTTGGGGGGGGGGGGGGGGTCAGAGATCTATTTTCTTGGTGGCCTGATTGCATACCTATAAGCTCAAGGGGCAGCCTTTTTGGCCGTTCTCGAGTAAGGCTAGCTCTTGGAACTGGAGGAAGCTACTGAAGTTGAGGGATCGTGTGAAAGCTCATTTAATGTTAATGGGGACTCTGTTTACTTGGGAATGGTGTGGTTATGGAGAAATATTATGTTAAGAAAGTTTGGGAGGTGTTTAGACCAAAATTGCCTAAGGTGGCATGGTATCCATTGATCTAGAAAGGAATAAGAGTCCATAGAAATCGATTCATTATTTGGATGATTCTCAAGGATAAAGTTACTACTCGAGATAAAATGCTATCTTGGGGATATAGTGGCCTTGTTCATTGTGTCCTGTGCGCTCATGAGGTGTAAACACATGATTATTTATTTGCTCAGTGCGAGTTTATAAAGGAGTTGTTCGAGAGATTGCTCAGTCCAGTGTTTCAGCGTGTCCTTAACTCTATGTGGCCGTGTGAACTAAATTGGGTTGTTGCAACATTTTATAGACTCGTTAAATTGTTTTTTCTTTTTGAATTTTTCATGGAAGAATATTAAAATTTAAAGTTGATGGGAAAAGAATGAGGAGAGAGAACATGATACGTGAAGTGCTCTAATTGGCTAGAAGATTAATTTACTTTTTATTTTTAATTACAAAACTCTAATTTATTTCTTAATTACAATCACTCTTGTTGCAGAAAATTTAGAATGGTGGAAATAAAATATTTAAAACTGTATCGTATATTTGGTTGATTGTCATGGTAGAAGCATAATATATGTCAACATGACTTCATACTGGTCAAACTAACATTGACAATCATTTCAAAGATTATTAACGTAAACCAAATGAGGGTAAAATACCTCGGGTACCACTGAAATTTGAGAATTGGGGTAGACATACCACTTAAGTTTGAATAGGGCGTCGGGTACCAGTGAACTCTATTATATGTGCACCCGGTACGACTTAAGTTTACTGCTATGTGCATTGCGTTAAAGTTGACAAAATTTCCTGGAATATCCCGTTTTCAAAATTTCATAATTGGTCCTTCTACTTATCTTATTGTAAAAAAACCATTTGGACTCATGGAAAACATAATATTTTTTTTATTTAATTGGAATCCTCTTTTGAATACTTGATAACAAATCAATTTTTCAATAGAAAATTTAGAAACAATTTTCATTATAAGTATTTTCAATTATGATTACGTGTTCTTATAATTGAATAATTTTATGAAGCAAATATCTCTAATGAATTTTATTTCGATATAAATAATATGAGAATGTTATATTTAGTTCTCTTACACCATGGTGATGTTGTCCAATTTTCTATGTTAAATCTCATTTTAATTCTCTAATATTATATTGTAGATGTTTCATATTAGTTAAATTTAGTGATTCTAATTCTCTTCCTATGATCATATTTTATTTTCTACATTTTTTACTAAATGTTGTAGTTTTTATAGTTCATTTATTACTTGGTTACTTTCCATATCTTTTCGTTCTAAATGTGTTTTCAATTACTGGAATATTTTTATTCCTTATGATTGTGTTCCATTTATCTTTCTTTGATTTTGATGTATTGATGATCGATTAGGTTCTATTTTAACTATTTCTAATGGTGCTTCTAATTGAATTAGGGTGTTTAAATAGATATTATAATATTATTTTTAAATATTTATTACTATATTCTAGTGTATATATTATTTTTCTTAATATTCGTTTAATATTTTTACTAATTTATTTATTTTATGAAAATTTTTGATTTGCCATTTTCTTAATAATATGGTTTTCTAATTTTTATATTAGATAAAACTTGTGGAAATATAGTTTTGAATGTTTTAAAAATTTTGGGTACCGAAAAGTAGTTAAAAGTTTGGGTGGGATGGAAAAGTAGACGGATGCACATTTTGTCGACTTTAATGGTACCCGACGCCCTATTTAAACTTAAGTGGTATGTCTACCATAATTCTCAAACTTAAGTGGTACCCAAGGTATTTTACCTAACCAAATGAAAATGTGTCAGTAATGGAGAAGTCATATAACTGGTTTCATTATGAAAAGAAGTCTTTTGTTTGGTGTAATACTATGAAATTCATTTCTAAAATGAATTGACTTGTCAATCCATGTTTGGCATACGTTCGGAATTGAATTAAATTTCCAACTACACCGTATTTAATTTTCAGCATAAAAAATATTCATTAAAATCCATTTTCTAAAAACTGCAAGTGATACAATTATTATCCAACCAATAAGACAAAGCTAAAAAATAAGTTCGGAAAAAACTAGTGAACAAGTTGAAGATCCATCTCTAAAGACCTTTATTGTAACCCAATTTTTTCATGAATGAAGCGAGGTAGATCTCCTCATGATGGAATTTGGTGTCGGTCGGAATACAGGATTAAGGAGAAACTATATATATTAGGTTAACATATCGGCGGAAAGAGTAGGTTAGGCATGCTACGTCAATAATATATGCAGAAGTAACTTAATTAACTAATGAGAATAATTATGTCATTCTATTATAATTAGGAAAATACGCGTGAAATTCATTTGAAAATTCTATATCAATTTCTCAAAATTGCTAGAACTAGTTCTAGTTTCGTAGTATTCAAAATTTAGAATTCAAAATGAACTTTTAAAATACTAAACAAAAAAAAAAAAAAAAATTTCTCAAAATTGGTGTTGTACTGAAAAGATTACATTAGTGTAATTAACCCATATGAAAATGTCTCGCATCCCAATTGAGTTTCCGTTCCCTCCCAATCCCAAATAAGAAAAGGAAGAAAACCCTAAAGCAGAAGTTGTTCAATTCCGTGTCAATTTTCTCCAGCTGAGCTGCCTGCTGCAAACGCAATCAATTCAATCCCCGCACTCTTCAAGCTGCGTGTCTCAATCACCTCCGTAGAATGATTTGATGGGTTCGATTCGATTGCAACACCATCGCCATTGTCACCACCTCAGGCTCAGCTGCCCCGCTCCCCTCTCCATTACACACCGGCGGCGGAGAAGCTCGACTCAGACTCTTATCACCATCCCGAACCCTCCCATCGCCGCCGCCACCAGGTTTGTCTCCCTCACTGCAGATTCAAGAACATTCCCCCGACCCTCTGCCCTGCCTGAATAAAAACGGGCCCCATTTCGGAGTGGTATTTTAGATTCGATGCCGATGACGGCGAGTGCCTCCAAATCTTACTGTAAAAATTGTACATATACAGACCTCTCGACCTTTCCGGATCATGGCAATGGCAGGGGCGAAAACCATTGCGATTTGTCAGCTGGGGGGAGAATTCCACACCGAAAACGACGGTTCCTTGTCCTACAGAGGCGGAGATGCTCACGCCATTGACATCGACGATCAAGTGAACTTTGCTGACTTCAAGATGGAAGTCGCCGAGATGTTCAACTGTGGCGGCGGTGGGGGCGCCACCTTCAACTCCAACATCTCTCTTAAGTATTTCCTCCCCGGAAACCAGAAGACCCTTATCACCATCTCCAACGACAAGGACTTTCAACGCATGCTCCGCTTCCATTCCCATTCCCTCACCATTGATGTCTACGTCTTCATCGACCAACCCCCTCTCCCTGACTTCTCTAGCTTCCCTGCTAGCAGGTAATCACGCCCTTTACTGTACTCTACTTCAAAACCATCTTTTTAAAAATAGTTGATTCTTAGCTCAGAGTTCCTTTGTATAGATCAAGCAGAACCACTCTCTCCGAAGCACAGCAATTGCCTCCAGCGACTGACCATGTCCCTGATGCTGAAGGAGAAGATGTTATAGATGCCCACCATGATATAACTCTTGCGGATATTGTTGATGACACCACCAGCCAGGTTGACATCCACATCGATTTACCTCAAGAAATGTCACCGCTTCTTCCTCTAATGGCTTCCACTTCCAGCAACGAGAAGCATCATGTCAAAGCTGTGGAGCAGTGGCAGGACACTATCACTGGTGTGGGTCAGAGATTCAGCAATGTCAATGAATTTAGGGAATCCTTGCGTAGGTATGCAATTGCCCATCAGTTTGCTTTCAAGTACAAGAAGAACGACAGTCATAGAGTCACTGTCAAATGCAAAGCTGAAGGTTGTCCATGGAGGATTCATGCTTCCCGGTTGTCGGATACTCAGCTCATTTGTATCAAGAAGATGAACCCTACACATACATGTGATGGCTCAGTGCTTACAACTGGGAACCAAGCGACTCGAAGCTGGGTGGCTAGCATAATTAAGGAGAAGTTGAAAGTTTTCCCAAATTACAAGCCCAAGGATATTGTGAACGACATCAAGCAAGAGTATGGAGTCCAACTGAACTACTTCCAAGCATGGAGGGGGAAGGAAATTGCCAAAGAACAACTCCAGGGTTCATTCAAAGATGCATACAATCAGCTGCCATTGCTGTGTGACCAGATAGTTGAGACTAATCCTGGAAGTCTTGCTACTTTTACTACAAAAGAGGAGGACTCTAGCTTCCAGCGCTTGTTTGTCTCGTTTCATGCTTCCTTGTCTGGCTTTCTCCAAGGATGTAGGCCTCTGCTTTTCCTTGACAGTATATCTTTGCAGTCTAAATACCAGGGGGCATTGTTGGCTGCAACTGCTGCAGATGGAAATGATGAAGTCTTCCCCGTGGCCTTTGCTGTGGTGGATACAGAAACTGATGAAAACTGGCATTGGTTTTTGCTGCAGTTGAAAACTGCTCTGCCAACTTCTTGTCCACTGACATTTGTTGCAGACCGACAGAAGGGTCTGAAAGAATCGATTGCTGAGGTATTCGAAGGCTCTCATCATGGTTACTGCTTAAGATACCTGACCGAGCAACTTTTTAGAGAGCTGAAGGGGCAGTTCTCACACGAAGTGAAGAGACTCATTATTGAAGATTTATATGGAGCTGCCTATGCACCTAGGCCAGAGGCATTTCAGCAGTGCATTGAGAGCATCAAAAGCATTTCCCCAAAAACCTATAGTTGGATCATGCACAGTGAGCCCCAAAACTGGGCCAACTCATTCTTTCAGGGGGCAAGATACAATCATATGACATCAAATTTTGGAGAGCTCTTCTATAGTTGGATGTCAGATGCTGATGAACTACCAATAACACAGATGGTTGATGTATTGAGGGGGAAAATCGCAGAGTTAGTCTATGCAAGGAGGTTAAATGGTGATCAGTGGCTGACAAAGTTAACTCCTTCTATGGAGGAGAAGTTGGATAAGGAGAACCTAAGCATTGGCGCACTTCAGGTGCTTCTCTCAGCTGGCAACACATTTGAGGTTCGTGGGGAATCGGTCGCTGAAGTTGTTGATGTTGACCACTGGGATTGTAGCTGTAAAGGGTGGCAGCTTAGTGGGTTACCTTGTTCCCATGCACTTGCTGTGATAGGTTGCATTGGCAGGAGTCCTTACGATTATTGTTCTAGGTATTTCTCTACCGATTGTTACAGATTAACTTATTCAGAGTCGGTCCACCCTATACCACAAGTGGAGAGGCCTAGTGAGAGAAAGCCTTTGAACGGAGGAGTAGTGACTATCACCCCTCCTCCTACTCGGCGTCCCCCTGGACGGCCCACCACAAAGAAATATGTAACGCAGGAGACTATGAAACGTCAACTCCAGTGCAGCAGATGCAAAGGTCTTGGACACAACAAGTCAACATGCAAAGAGAATTTGTAATAAGGTTTACGCGCTGTAAGTATTTGCCTTTTTGCACACAATTCATTTTTATGCCTTCGTACATGGTAGGACTGAAAGTGTTTTGACTTTCTTGAAATTTATCAAGTGCGCATAGGATCTCATGGTGGGTAATCTGAATTTGAAAAATAGTCTACTTAGCGATGGCTAGGTGTTGCAACCAATGAGTACTGTGTTTGTCTCTGATTTTAAACAGGGAGGACTTCAACTCATCACGGAGCAATGGCAGCGGCCTGGACTTGTAAAATGTAGTAAACCGTGTTAGTGAAAAAGCTGATTAGTGATTGTCTTTTCGGTTCGGGCTGTTGTTTATTTTCTCAAATCCACTTGGGAGTTGCAACTGTAATGTAGAGAGGCAGCCGGAGGTTACAATGATGATGTAGTATGGCTTCAACATCTTAAACCCCTTCAAAATGGGTAATTGTTGTATTCATAATTATAGAAGTTGCTGACTTCTGAGAGCCAGAGTACACGGTTCAATTCATCAAACTTCTGGCTATTTTCGTCACAAATATAGCGGGTCTCAAGTCGCGAGCTTGATGAAATCGTAGTAAGCTTCCCTCATTTCAGCTTTTCTTCACGCAGTGGATGATGCAGTTCCAGGCGACCTTTTTCGCCGTCTTGCCAGCATAATAAGCTTTTCAAAGTGAATGAGGTGCTTTCGGACCCGGTATGTATGTATGCTATACAGAAGGGCAGCCATGGTTACAGCAGCGAAGGATATCAAACTCAGCTTCCAGAAATCCTGATAAACAGTGAAGAAAAGAAGGTTTAGTGGTAGTTATATCTATATGTCTATCAGAAATGTCACGTTAATTGTGAACTGAAATTTGTACAGTGTTTCAAAGGCTGTGATAACTACCTTTGGGTCTGAGATGATTATGCCCATCACATAACCCAGCAGATCAAGAGCAGATTGAAGAGAGTTCTGAACACCTCCGACAATGCAACGATCAGATTCAGCAACACGATCCTTCAATTCATTTGGCACAAGGGAAGATCATAACAAAAGGAATCATAAGCATCTTGGGTAAAACAACTACAAGAGGGAAAATTTTGGTCAGGAATTCATTTTTGACCTGCATTTGCTGGACCACAGATAAGTCGAACATCCATAAGCCAAGTCGAGATGTTGCGACTCCAGCCATGAGCATATATGCAGATGGTTTCTGGCTATGGACCCATATTCCACCCACACATACAACAAGGCAAGCCCACTGCATGAATTTCATATTTTGCATCGAATTGATATTGTGTGATCTTCAGTATACTGAACCCTTTCTCGCATATAGGTAAACCTTTTAGTAGGAGCTTGGAATACCTGATACCATACAGACCAAAGCCCCGTTCTGAGAGTTGAAAGCTGAGACTGCATGATTGGGTATACAGAAGTAGCAGATATTCCGATGGTGGCGCTTACACCTCGACCTATCCCAATTACATAAGCAGGAATTCCCTCCCACTCTAATGTTGCTGTCATCAGGGTGCCAAAGCTGGGCAAAAAAAGCAGAATCATCAATTCGGCATAACTTTGAAACAGAATGCACGCACGCGTCGCACACACTTACCTGATGACTGTGAAAAACAGCAAGGCAAGAGCTACACCAGGGAGCACAGTACTTTGTTTCAAGTACACTCTCCAAGAGCTAATGAAGTGGAGGCTGTAGAGCCATTCACATACTTTGGCTCCCCGTCCCTTACTATCAAATCCTGCACCATGAGGATCATCTCTTGGTGGCGAAAATCTTGAATCCCTCTTTTTGTGGTTACTCTCGCCTAGAGCTGGGATCCCTTTATACACAGACATGAAGAGCAGGTATTCCAGCCCTACTGCTGCAATGTTCCAGCAGGATAAAGTTATGGCAGATGCTTTTAATGATACAAAGCTGATGATGAAACCAGAGACCACTGGTGCCAGAAGCTTGCAGGTCAGATCGATCCGTCTGATGGTTGAGTTGGTCTTTGTTAGCACATCTGGAGGATGGCCTTCCGAAATTACCACTACCCTGTGAAAAACAGTAATTTCAGACAGTCGCCACATACTGTGTGGTAATCATCAAAGGGAGCCAACGGCAGTAAGTAAGCTAACCATTCTCTTTCTATCAAAATGGTGCCAGCAAGAGTGGAAAGGGAGCCAACGGCGCCAGAGGCGTTGGCCAATGCAACCAGCGAGACGAAGGCTGTGAAGTTTGTGGACTTGAGAGTCGGAAAGAGGAACAAGGCGACGACAGTGCCACCAGCAACCATGAAAGAGAGATTCTGAGCCACTAACCATAGCCGAAGGACCTGTCCAAAAGCCCAAAAATTGTACCAAGGTTGGCATTAATGCAACAGTAAAGCATCAGAAGTAGGGGAGAACTGATCGATTGGTGAAACCAACCTGTACGTAAGTGAGGCGTTGAACCCATTCTCCGATTGTTGGACCCAAAAGTGCAGTGGAAGCAGATTCAACAGCACCGTAAACAGCTGCCAGGACTAAAGATCTGGGCCAAAGATTGATCATGTACAGCCCCACACAGAATTCCCACATCCTGCATGGTTTCGCCAGCCCATGTAACGCCGGGAAAAAAAGAGTGGGAAGAGATGAAGTGAAGTGAATAGTAGCGATCACGTGGAGAAGAGAAGAGAGCAACAAATAACCTCACCTGGCATCCCATCTGGCCAAGAATTGGGCAATGTAGAGATTCCTGAGGAGAGATGTGTCAAGAGAAGAGGAAGTAGAAAAAGAAGAAGAAGAAGGAGAAGAAGGCAAAGGTGGGCAGGTTTCGTCCACGTCTCTCTCTTCTTCCACCTCCTCTTCTTCTCCTTCTTCTTGGTGGTGTTGTTGCAGCGGTGGTAGTTGGTTTTGATTGTTAATTACAAGCGGTGGCTGAGGATCCGCTGTAGCCATGCAAATACAGAGACTAGAACTACGCTGGAGCGGACAGTAGTTGAGCTGTTTGCTTAATTTTTACTGTGGGCATGCTTCTGGTCTGTTGCAGCTAGCAAGCAGAGGGGTTACTCATTACTAGACGTTGCAGTAATTGAAGGTGGTGGTGACTGAGTGTACGAAAGGATGAGGCAGAGGGAGGTTAAAAGACGTACGGTGAGGAACGGACGGCTGGAGGGATGCTTGGCCCCACCGAACGGCAATATGTTGCATCATCCTTCTTTTATTTTTTTTTACCTTACGCAACATACAGAGAGTAGAAAAGATTTTTACCGAAAAAAGGAAGGGCAGAAAAGATACGTTATGTGTAGGCCACGTTATGGGTAGGCGTCTTACTCGGTTTGATTATAATTTTGTTAGTAGGTTGGATTATAATCGGAATCGTTTATTTGATTTTCGTTTAGTTGTTTAATTAATTTGTGTTTATCACTATGTGCTAACTGCATAGTTTATGTTAGTAGATTAGTCGTCTAATCGACTAGTAAGTGATTTGGAATGGTTCCAAAATAATTGATCGGTAACCTATTATTCTCTGCAAATAACGTTGATCGGAACCCTTTGATCTACCACCACCACTTCTTCCGATGCGCAAATGATGAAGATGAGTGGTTTTGGCTATGCATCTCCAACTTTTTCGAGACAGGACTCGACATCAAATTCGTCAAACATTTTTTACTCAAGCTCAAGCTACCGGTAGATCCACACTTAGCGGGGCTGTGAATGACTGAGGAGGAATAGATAGTGACTGATGAAGGTTTTGGTGGCAGGAGGGGCTCCGATGTGGAGGTGAGTTAGATTGGTTGGTAGCGCGGTCTTTGGAGAGCGATTTTAGTGATATGAAACGGTTAAATCATAGTTCAACACAAAATACCTTGCCACTGACTTTTGCATTACAACATCCGATACAATTTTACAATCATGGGTATTTAAACTTGGTTAATTGTTGGTTAACCGTTAATCGACTATTCGGTTATCGATTACCAAAGTCATTTTAGCCTACCAGTTTCTGCACTGCTAACTTATAATTGGTTAACAATATAACCGTTAACCATCGGTTATCGGTTGGTTTAATGGTTTAACCCTAACCATGTGTCACCCCTAGTTCATGGTTGAGTTGGTACGATAAAAATAAATTGAATCTCTATTAAGTGCAAACAAAGCTTTTCATTGGTCTTTAATTTAGAGGTTACAGGTTTGAATAATTTAAGTAGCATGTAGCAATGAAAATGAATCGATATCACCTCATAATTCTTTAAAAAAAACGTGACAGATGGGTCATGGATATTTCATCTCATACACACAAAATTAAACTTTGCTACCTTCTATTAAGAGAAGAAAAATAGTATATTTTAAAATGAGAACATCTGTAAATAGTCGATACAAAAAATTCTAGATTGCGAGATCGTTACCCTGAGTTAGTGAAACACGTGAACAAGCCATATCATTGGGGAGGTCAGGATTGTGTTGATATATGACCATGGAGGAGAGATCAACTCTGATAGCTGGATTACAGTGGACTTTTATGGATTGCTCATGCGTCCTTACTAGTTTATTGCTAAAGGAGGTGCACTTAGAGACAGGAGGGGTCATTTATTGTAGGCGTACACGATGAACCTAAAAAAAGTACAATCACTTGTGCGGAACTAATGAGTATATTTGAAAAAATTGAGCTTAGTTGGGTCACGAAACACAGGAAGGTTAAGCTTCAGCTAGACTCGACAGTAGCAAGTCACTCTCACAATAGCCACAAGGGGAATGAGTTTGGTTGCTAAACCCGGGGTTAGCATCATACTAACTAAGTTAATTCTCGTTAGATTAAAAACTATTCCTAGGATTAGAATTAATTAGAGGACAGTTTAGTCATTATGTTCTTAAACCATAATATAAATACACATTTCTATCTCTCACGTCTCTCTTGACCGCCCACGTCTTTTCCACTCCCTCTCTGCCAGAAACCATCTTCTTCTCTCCACCAGAAACCGTCTTTTGCCCTGCCTCTTCCATATCCACCGTCGCGCCGTTGCCTCATCATCGCCTGCGCCCGAATCGCCTTCATTGTGCCACCGCTTCCACCTATTGATGGTCGATTACCGAGGGTGGCCACCCTAAACTACTTAGGAACTCCGCCGTCAATTCCATCCTCCCTCATCACCCTCAACTAATCTCGGTTCTGTCCCAAGCAACACCAGCGTCATGTTGTCGCATCTCTTCAAGCCGTCAAAATTGGCGGATCTCTACAACGTTGACAGATCTCTACCAGCCATGACAACGCCGCCGTCAAGCAGCCACATCGATCTCCACTACCCCAACATCTCTCTAAGTTGGCGGATCTCCAGATTTCACAATCAGATCTACAGTGACAACGAAAGTTGTTACAAATATGTAGTAGTAATTTTCTATATTTGTAGTAATGTTTTCATATTTGTGGTAATTATTCTGAATAATAATGGTTTGTATTAGTAGCGATTTTACATATCTGATTGAGGTTTTATGGTGTAGTAGTGGTTCTTGGGTAACTACCTATTTTAATCACTACACAGGAAATATAAATCGCTACACATGAAATGCAGAACAATACAAGTAAATTCCTAACTCACTACTAATGACAATTAAGTTGCTACCAGAAAATTCCTAAATCACTACTAATGACAATTAAATCGCTACTATAAAATTTCTAAATCACTATGGTTAACAGTTAAATTCAAAAAGCACTACTATCAACCCCAAAATCATATTTTCCGATAAAAAATGATTAATAGTTAATACACAAATGAGAGAAAATATATAGTTTAATTTATTTATTACTTTTAATTTTTTGAATACCGAACTAACCCTTCATTACTAACCACCGTCAGATTCAACTTACAAAAATGGACGATAATTAGAGTAGTTATCATGGTGCTAACTCTTATGAAGTTAGCACTCTAACCTCTCCCCCGACAGGGGCGACTAACCTCTAGCATGTCAACATTGTCCTTTCCTTTTGCTCACTTCTTCATTGTGACCGAGAGATCAAGGTCACTCATCTACAACATATATATCTATCTACAACATATATAATACGTTTTCAAGCTTCAAAAAACTTCCATTTCAAAATTCCAGCCCTGGGAGCGTTTCCCGGAAGGGCATTAAAGGAACTTCCCCAAATTAAAATCCTACACACCGTTTTTGCATCTACCAATTAATTTTTTTAATTTTTTTTTCCAGTGCCTTGGTGCCTCTGCCTCCCCTTCCCTCGCTCGAATGAATACCTAAAGGGCCTTTAGTAAAGGCTAAAAGCCTAAACCACTTAGCCTAAACCATATACTATAGTGCAACGATGGAGTGTTTATTAGGCCAGCCCGCTCATTTATATATATATATATGTCTAAGATAATGAGTGATGATGACCAGTGACCACTAAACATAGTGGAAATAATGAAACAATAAACATGCAGAGGTTGTTTCTTTTGTTTGCTTTTGATAGGATTGGAGGTTTTCATTCTCTTGACCTAAATTGGAATATCGTTCACTATACGATCATTACCTTAGCTACATGTTTATTTTCAAATTTTTGTTTACGAATTCACTTTTGTATGAAAATATCAATTAGTATACGCAATGAAACACGCAAGAACAAGGATGGAGGATATAGAATAGAGCGGAATGTATGTGTAAATGACAAATGATTATATCACTCATTTAAGAACCAACACAATTTTCATGTGTTTGTGCAGAATAAGAAGGAGCTGTTGTTTTTTTAGGGAAAAACTTCATTTAGATTTGTATGAGTACACAAAACAGCAGGTTAGTAGTAGCAAGTTTGTTTCTAAGATGGATACAGAGCTCATGAGTTGGCACATGATAATTGCTAGCCTAATTTTGACTTCCTATTCTGTTTGTTTTTAAAAATAATAATAGGATATCAATATTATAAAAAGTACGTAATGAATTAGTAACTCACTTTTCCGAATTTGGCCTACTTTTGTTCAGAGTTCTAAATGTCTTATGATTCATGGTGTTCAAGTCGAAGTTGTTATACGCATTTCTGCAGTGATATCTTTGAAACACAAACATTATTAAAGGCATGATATATTCAATATCAAATTTCGAGGTAGCATATGCGTCAGTACGTAACATAGCTACTATTTCCACTAGACGAATTTGCATCACTGAATAAAGTGTTCACGAAGATGGAGACACACCTGACATCCCTGGATTTAGCTTTCAGTTCATGACACCTTCTAATTTTCAGCGACTTAAGAGAATGATGAATATTTGTCGGGTTTGATTTATCAATTTACGACAAAATGCCTTTTGTAACTCATTTGAGAAGACTAATACATATTTATCAAATCTCATTCCTACAGTTGTATGACTCACTTTCCTACATACTGGTCAGATTTAGTCGGCGAAGTTTATCATACATAACCAAATTTGAATCCTTCAAGGTGTTATTTACGTACGGAGTAAAAAAGTGCACCGCACATTATTTCCTTTACTCTACTTGAACCTACGAAATCATATTCCATTAGATATGAATCTAACCATCTATATATTCATTTCCTGTTTCTAATCCAGGGGACTAACTTAATTAATGATTTCTATACGGTAGTTCCTAACTAACCCCAACCAGACATGTTCTGCTTAATCACATCATTATTGTTGGGGGTATTACCTAGGAGCTAGGAGTTTGGGTTCCCAAAGAAAGAGAGTTGGGGGGCAAGGCCCGAAAAGAAGGGACCCACTAGAGGCCCTTGGGCCCAAACAAGGGAAAGGGCCCAAAGAATAAAACACTAAAAGGCAAATTGAGGCCAGCTGTCCGGTGGACCACTGCCTGCGGGCGCCTGTCATGTGTCAGGAGCCTGGCAAGGCAGTTAGATGCCTGTCATGTGTCAGGAGCCTGACAAGGCAGTTGGGTGTCTCACAGAGGGGACACAGAGCATTAAATGAGGATAGTGACGTGGAGGAGATCAGCCTCGAGTTCGGTGAGTATAAATAGGGGCAGTCGGTAGCATTTAGGCAGGTTGGACTCTCTCTCACTAAAATACTACTTGGGAACTCTACTCTCCCTCTGGAACTAACTTGGGCGTCGGAGGATTAACGGGCCGAGGCGCCCTCCTCTTTGTGTGTGTAGGTCGACGCCAGGCGAAGGGAGACGTCCGAATAGCGAAGGGGGTATAGTGGCTCAAACAATTGGCGCACCAGGTAGGGGAATATAACCTGAAGTCATGAGTGAGGAAATGGAGGTGAGCGATGGAAGGGAAAGGGAGGAGGTCACGGAGGACCAGTCGGAACGATTAAGGGGGCTGGCGCCCGAGATGGACGAGAGGGAGGAAAGTGATGGCATGTTTCGAGGGTCGGAAGGCGCCTCGATGACGAAGAGAGAGCTGTTCAGAATCATTGAGGACCAAGATGGAGCGATCGAGGCGCTCCGAAAGGAGGTTGACGCCCTAAAGAGAGGTGGAGGGGTGACGCCTAGTCCAACGA